CTCTCTGCCTCTGCGACGTTGCTTGCCGGGCCAATCAACCTCGGGATGCACCACGCGCATATGCCGGGTGAGCGCATCGTTGCGGGAGAAGGTCTTCTCCTCCGTGCACAGATGACACCGAACCTTCTGCTTGCGAGCATTGTGGATCGTGTCCTCGTGGCGGGTCAAATCGTAGGGGCGAGAGAAGATGGAGTTGCACGGCTTGCCTGTAGACGGATTGATGCGTTCGCACTTGTGAGGGCCGGCCTGAGAGTTCCGGGCCGAGTTGTCACGCCCGATAAGATGTCCACCAGGAGTGGTCTGGCGATGCGCCTCACGCTTGTGCTTCTGGAGCTTGGCAGGCGTTTCAAACCGTAGGGTGCAACCGTGATAGGTGCAGGTGTAAGTCCCACTGTCCGACGAGGTGTTCTCAGGTCGAGGGATCTCCACCTTGACAGGCTGGAGGGCCACTCTGGGCTGACCCTGAGGAGATGTCATTTCGGTCGTGGGAAGAATCTCGCTTCCAGTGGACTCAAAGCGGGGCAACGAGGCCGGGAACTCAGGAGTCTGGTGCAGGAGGCTGTTCTGTTGGGATTGTGCCTGACGGGAACTCTGCTGCTGCTGGCCGAAGGGATATTGCTGTCCAGCCATGTGGGTGGCATATTGCGCGGGGAAAGACTCCATAGAAGTGAAGTTCTGGGTGGGTTGGTAGGAAGAGGAGCTTTCCCGGCGCAATCCACCCAGCGCATCGCCCAGATTGAAATCGGGCTGGGATGAGGGGGGGAACAGCGGCATTCCAGGGGCATGCAGATCGGAGTCATCGCCTTCATTGAAGTCCAGCAGAGCATCCTTGGGAGACATCGTCTTGGGCTCATTCTGGGAGGTCGGGGCGATGCTCACACCATTCTGTGACCCAGGCACGCTGGTCGCCATTTGCGGGTGTTGCAAACCAGCACTGTTGTACTCTGCAGCCATGGGGGAGTTCTGCCGGAACGGAGAGCGATCCCGATGCATGCTCCCCATAGGCGACTGTGACCGTGCAGAAAGGTGACCCTGGTTAGCAGCTTGCAGTCTATCAGCAATCACGTTGCGGTATGTCGGAGCAAGCATGTTTTGTTGCTGATTGGCAGACTGCTTGGGAACCTGTGGCGTGGGCATCAAGGCTGGGTTGTACAGCTCATCCTGGTAGATATCAGAGATGGTACGGTTGAGCTTCGGGATGCCAATCGTCAGGTTGTTCGGATTCTGGTGTGTGTAGTCTGAAAGTGAATCGAGATGTAAGTAATCATCCATCCACTTTTCCACGCCAGGAAACCGGTTCTCACCATTGGTGGTCTTCGAAGACTCATCGAGTTCTTCAAAGCCTGTTTGGGGGGTAACTGGTGAGTTCTGGCTCACAGTTGACACCGAGTAATCACTGGACTGGTGCTGGTGGCGAGGCTGATATTGCTGCTGTTGCTGGTGCAACTGCTGGTGTTTCTGTTGCTGCTGCTGCTCCATAACAGCCCGCCTCATAGCGAACTCTGCGTCAGCTGTGTTGCCATCCTGGAACGACCCTGCAAGAATCGAGTTCTGCACGGGAGTCTGGGATGGGGTGGGAAGTGGTTTCGACTGGCCATTCGACCTCTGGTAAGAGCTGCCTGCTGGGGCTGATCGACTAGAGGACGGACTGGAGGCAACTTTCATTTGGGAGTCGGTGTTAAACTGGGGCATGCGCGACAGGTTGTTTTGCATACGAGCGGGGTTCAACAATTGCAAGTTGCCATCCCAGCCGTGGTTGTTCGGAGCGGAGTGCTGCGCCAACATTTGCGCGTTGTCGTCGTAGTATGGTTGGTGAAAGAAGTAGGGCTGAGATTGTGGTGAAGCTGAGTGCTGGTAGCTGATCGAGGGGTTATACGAGGAGGAAGGTGTCATCGAAGGAGCCTCGAAGGAGTTGCTGTCAAAGACAGCTGAAGAGTAATCCGCGGCCACCGCCGTGGCTGGGTAGTGAGAGGCGATCGAGGCGGGAGAGGAGGTGGGAGAGGAAGGGGCGGAAGATGGCGGAGAGACGAACTGCAAGTCCGGGTGATACTGGAAAGGAGTCTGAAGTCGAGGCTGATGGTACACACCCTCTTGTGAGTATTCAGGTAGGAACTGGTCGTCTTGTATGCAAACGGGCTCTTGGTGGTTGTAGAACGGGATAGAAGTTGGTTCAGTGATAAAACCCTTACGTACGGCAGGGTGCATGAACATAATGTTGCTTGTGTCGTGGTTGGACGTCAGAGTAGAGATGACGCCGACTGGAGACGGTGGGTTTGCCACCCGGGGACGTCGAGAGTTTAATGAAGATAAGTTGGCACAAGGGCCCCCAAAAGTCTCGAAGAGGCCAAGATCGTTAGTGTTAGAAAGACTTGCTGAGCAATTGCAATCAGAAGAATGAGTCAACGAGAGAGTTGGAAGTTTGAGCGGATGGTCCAGAGTCAAAAGTAGATGTTAAACAGGTCGAAGCGTCTGGAAACGTCGGGCAGAGGGAGACCGATTCAGGCTGAGAGAAACCGATCGAGAGGCTCAGCTGAGTGGGGAACCGTGGTTGAGATGAGAGACCTAAGGTTCACAAATGGATGGTTAGTTGGATCTGATCCAATGATGCAAAGATCAGGTCAAGGAAGTATGAGAGGAAGAGAGAATAGTCGACGTAAGTATGCGGGTGGACGTACTATGTATGAGCAAGGATACCCGTTGAGTATTGAGGGTAGTATGAATGTTCAGATGATTGAGAGAGTATAGATCAAAGTTGAGATCAGAGAAGATATGGGAGGCGACTTGAGGGGATAATAAATATCTGATTGATATAGAAGAAGATGATGGGTGGGTGAATAATACTCATAGCTTAAGAGGGGGGGGGGGGGGTGGTGGTGGAGGGTTCATTCCTTTTGTATGAGAATGACGTTTAGCCCTGCAGGAAGGAGAGCAGACTAAGGTAGAAACTACATACGGCAATCGCCGACAGTCATCCTTCCCACGCTTATCCCGGCCGTCCGCCGATCCTCAGGATTGGGTCTGGTAATCATGTACGGTAATATTACGCTTTCGTACCGTCATGCGGCCGAAAACGAATGCATCCACTTTTTCCACTTAGTCGGACTCGATCTGCATGGCTGTCCGCCGTCCGGGGGACTCGCTGGCCAGTCCGGCCTTAGGCAGTTCCCACCCCCAGTCGACCCAAACTTTTCCCATTTTTCTCACGACTCGCGCGTTCTTGACACTACTATCTTAGTACCTTAGTCCCTTAGTACTTGCATACAAGCCACAATTGACTGACAGTCTCAGACCATCTGGCTGACCTACGCTACGACTCGACTCAATTCGACTCAGGAGCTAGACCGGGTGACCGGATCCTCTTCGGGGAGGGTACTAAGAGTCCAGATCATACCAGAATCCACGCTCTAGTGAATGATTAACATTGAGTCAGGCTGCTAGTGCGATGACTCTCAGCCTGGGAGAACAAAAACAAAAAAGACAAAGACAATCATGGAGGATTTTTCCACCCACCCACCCTCCTCTTCGGCTAGCGTAGGGAACAATAATGTGTCTGTTTCAAATTTTTTCTCTGCTTGCGCCTGATAATAGCAACCGAGGAGCACGCTAGGGCAACCAATCAACGCTTGAGTGGTCATGGCTAAGCCACACGCATTCCTCAGAGACAACAAAGTAACCTACTAAACCAACCAATCCACTCAACGAAAATGCCGTGGTCGATCCGATCTCGTGTATCTCTTTGAGCGGACCCTTACAGATGACATGTTCGACAGTTGAAGATTACAGCGCATGTCAATGGGTGAAGATCCATGCCCTATCATCAGCGCCTTGCTTAGCTGGTTGCAGCCAGCAGATGCCCAAGGAGAGTCGATCTCCACTATGATTAGGTACTCGTACTAGGTAGGTATTGACTCGCGATGGGGAATCTGTGAGAGCCACACCTTAGCTGCGCCACAAATGCTTGTGGCTAGTGTGTATCCCGGTATCAGCCAAGTTATTCATTATTAGTAATATCACTAATTGGTGGTCAACACGTAGCGTAGTTCTTTCAAGAGTCAACCGGAGTAAACTAGTAACTCCACGGACGGACGGACTTGACCGGGGATACGATCTTGGTCATCAGGGCGCTTTTCCAGTGAGCGCTACTGCATTCTCTTTCCTGTTGCTAATGCATCATTTATAATGGCTGATGAGTATTCCAGCCGGTTCGGCCTTTCGGTTGAGTCGTTTGAGTTCTGTAGGTCGGCGGAGACTCGGACGAAATACAGGCCGCAGCCGGTAAGCTGGCAATAATGGCTGACTAACTGATTTGATGTTGCACACACCACCAAACAAGACTAAAACGTTAGTTACCTACCCCGGCCTCGGGTCTTCTCGCCCTGCCTGCGCTAGTAGCCTGATTCTTGCGGCATCTCTGAACCGAGCCCTGCACTTTCTCGGCCGGTGCGATACAAGTCGGGCTATGCAACAAGAACCTCATCGGTCCTATGCGTGATCGGGTCAGCTGATAACTTGTTGGGGGTTGTTTTTCTTTTTGTCCATTGTCTGATAGTATCACCTGTATTTGCTTACCGTGGTTCTGTTGCGATGCTAGTCTTACTGAGGTGGTCACAATGAATCAGATCTCCTATATCGGCCCTTCGGAGATAAGCCACAGTCCCAATGGGTCACCCTCAGTTCCCTTTCTACAGTCTACATATGAGTCATGAATGAGATTCACTACAAACAGAATCCATATCACTACCAGGGACGTCGTACGATTATAAATACATTTTTTCCCTACAACGAGATATACTCCGGAGATAGGAGGATGTTACTGGAGCTCGTTATGTGCTTGGAGGTGTGAGGTGACATGACATGATGTGGCGCATGGGTTAGCTGTTCCTGACTCAAAAACATCTTCAATGGCTTGCTCAATCCGCAACATTCACATGCTTCTGGGATCAATCGATAAGCAGAAAAGGCAAACAGGGAAGTGGACACGTCTCCTCGTGTTTTTGGTGGTCGCATCTCTCTACCCTTCAACGTACTTGTATTTTTGCTAGTCCAGCTCGTGGCAGCCCCATGGACTACTTCATCCGAGAGACAAGAAATCACTCCACACTGTAGGACATAAGACACAAGCCCTGCCTTGTGATTCGCGCACGCTGCAAGCTCGCTACGATTTAAGAGTCAAAAGGGCCCGTCCGGCTCCACTCATGCTCGAAGCACGTCCAATGCTGCTGCTGTCAGAAGAGCTTCCTGCTTCGTCCAATGTCCAGATCTCCCATTCCCCCGGGCCACCGAGCCAGCCATTCGACCCACCGCGTGCTTGCTCCGTACCGAGACAGCTGAACTGCGGTGGCAACTCACACCGTCCCAATGCGAGCACCGGTATATCCCCGAAGAAAAAGCCATTCATCGAGCAGGGAAACCCGTCTGCCTGGGGCTCAGCCCTCGATTGCGCATTACATACCCCCCAGTACCGCCGCGTAATCCAGTCGTACTCATGTGAAAGCCTGCAGGCAGGCTTTCCAGGAAGGGGAAGAATCCCGATCGTATTCGATCCGAAGAGTACTACTAAGGTAGCTAGCCCTGGCTGGATGGTGCACAGTGCTGGACAACACAATGGGGGGAAGGGTGATGGGACCCGGCGGGTCTGGAGAACGGGTACCAGTGGTGGGCGGTACATACCACCGGGTCTTGCTCTCGCTCTCTCTCTGGGGAAAAGAGAGCCCGTGAGTAGTAGCTATGGAAGTTAGTGTAGGTACGGTAGATGGTCCAGCATAGCGGCCGCAAGCCACAAAACCCAGCTGAGCCCTTTCCTCCCCTCCCCTCCCCCAAGTTGGGGACTTTGCACGAGAGTCTAAAAGTTGATATCAAAAAAGTATAAATCCTCCCCGTCATGCCATTCAGAATGAGCCCACGTTGCCGGACAGACGAGCCGAAAAGGCAAAGCAAAAGTCAAAAGAAAAAAACCCCCAAGAGAACCGGATAAGTTCCCATATGCGCAATTGTTTTGCGACGGCAACAAGAAAACTCAAACTGCATGCAAGACAATAGAAAACCTAGAACTACGAAACCGTAACAGTACAAACTGGAAATTTCATCAACGAGAGTATGATGCCCCTGGAGGTAAATAAAAAAAGTTTCTCATTGGTGCGGAATTATCACAAAAGTCAGCACCTTATACTCATCGGGTTGGCAAACTCTTCCCTTTCACATCACCACCACCCCCCCCTGCCTGCCACATGTTCCTTGTTCCCGTTTCGACATTAGTTCGCAAATCCAGTAGGGCGAACGGACACTACACTAATGCAGAGAAGCAGAGATTTTTTTCCTTCCATCATCCCTCCCCCCCCAAAATTCCTCGCACCCCTGCAGCAATGGGTGTAGAACAGCAGATGTGATTGGTCATGCGTCCAGACACAGCCACAGCCACCGATGAAATGGCAGCTTATTCGTGGGGCCTCGGTAGGGTAGGTAGGGAGGGGGAGGGGGGAAAGGATGGTGCCGATCTCCGCGGTAAGGAAAAAGGATTCGCTCCCTTTTTCTGATTGTCCCTAAAAGTGGATTCCGATGACCCATGCTGAATAATACCTTAGTCTACCTGGTCGGGGATGCGGGCAGCCTGAGGTGTAAGTTTGGGCCTAACGGAACACCGTACGCCGTACTCCGTACTATCCGTACTGTACACGCACTGCACGCAACCCTACCTTCCGACAAGGAAGGGCTTCGGCTCATACAGGCGGTTTATTTTTCACCCACCATCCCAAAACAGGACTAGTGGACAGTCGGCCCCTCCGGCGCGCGCTTAGAGTTTTTCTGGTGTCCTTCTAGAATCCTGCTAAAATTGGGCCACGATGGCTGAATCGGGGTCCGTGCAGCTGAAATGAAAAAAAAAAAAATCTGCCCTCCCCATGAGTGCTGTCGCAGGCTGCAGCACTCCCGCCAGTCCATTGGCCGGATGCTCGGCCCAGACGGAGGAAAACCGTTTTTTGTAGGTATCTTGCATCGCCTATCACAAGGTAGTATAGATCGAACGAGCTACTGAGTACTCAAAACTTCCGAGGAACTTTACCCTCAGCCAGTAGCGACATGGAAGGGAAAGAGAAAATTTTTTCTTCGCTAGCTCTCCAAGAGATCTCTCAGCTGCCGTCGCAGCAGGAAGCAGGATCTAAGCCCTCTCTGTCTACCTCGATGTCGAGGGTTTTCCAGCCTCGAGTCATCATCATTATGCGATGCTGAAGAAACTTTTTTTTTGTCGGATAGTCGCGGTTCCCAATCCACGTCGCCGAAAATAAAGTAGAAAATGTATACGTAGTTTTGGAGTACGAGGTATTCTGCTCGTAGATAACTCATCCCGCGGATCCAGATACGTGGGAATTAGTTTCCCTACAATGGGAGTTGTCGTCCCGCGAGCCAGTGTTACCTATCAAAGTCAATCGGTGGTCTCACGTAGTCGTTGGGTCATTCATCGGCCCGGCAGATCAAGCAAGACCAGGCTCCTGGGAGTCCTGGCGGGCGTGGCACAGTGGGCTCCCCCCCCATCTCCCCCATCTTCGGCATCACGGCACGCGCTTCCTTGCCGATGTACAGAAGAAGGTTGCACAGAACTATTGCACTGTTCCCCTCCCCCTTCCCCGAAAAATCTTGCGATATGTAACACAAACCTCCGGGAAAAAAAAATATTGGCATCTAGATCTATCTCACTGGAGAGGCTGAGCAATCGGTCGCTCGCAGACTACTACTAGTGTAGTGTAGCTGATTGTGAGTTGTACCGTACATTTTTCCATGGGGGCGGAGACGTTCTCGACCGACAAGCCGACCGATCGATTTTGAACCACTCTCGTTAAGTTAGTAGTCTCCTACTAACAATTGCAGTCAATGTCTTTCGATAGTCCATAGTTACCCAACAGGATGGGAAACAATGTCTCAGGTGACACGACAAACAATGTCAGATATGATCCGGATTCCACTCGATGTTTCTAGTAGTATCGAACACGATAGTCACAACATAACCAAATCAAACCATAACTGAATCAGATCTCGTAATACCCTCCTCGTACAATGAGACAAAAATAGGGTACGACGGAAGATTTGTCCCCGATGGTGGGAGACTTTACCCCGCCAATTGTTCATTCGATTCTCTTATCGTCCCTTCAGCAGTGGTCTATGCTGGTGTCTCACAGCGATCGAAATCAGATAAAGTGTGTCGGTGGTGGTGGTGGTGGCGGCGTTGATAAACTTGTCATACTAGCTAGACCTACAGAGTGTATATACGGTACATAAAAGGCTGAATTGAACGTTCCTTCCACCCACCCATCCTTTTGGACTGAGTATTGATACCAAAGTAGATATCAGCCAGTCGATAACATCCTCAGTTCTCACGCAGCTTCACCTTCGAGACTCGAACGCAGACGTCAACTGCATAGCACACATAACATACACAGTACATACCTCAACCCACCTACCCACACCCACTCACGTACAGTACTCACTACAAGACCCTCCCCAACAAAAACAAAAACACACACAATCTAGACCCTCACACCATGCCAACAAGTGCGCAGCACACAACCCACAACCCGCATGAACAATATCTCCGCGCAGAACCCAGGAATCAGAAATCAGATGGCATGCATCTAATCTAAACCACGGCGAAAGGGTCTGGACTCTGCAGTGGACTCGCACCTTTTCCCGACCGGTCGCGGTCTAGATTCCGGGGGGCCACGAACGGACGGACGGACCCTCCAGAGTTCAAACATCTAGACCTTTTTGATTTACTGTCAGACTGTAGGTATAGGTATGTTGATCGGTTCGCAAATAGATAACTTGCTCGACAATCTATTTCGCAAAGCCTGATCTAGATCTTTTTGTGCTCTCGAAAGAGCAAGGGAAATCAGGTTGTGTTCTCTGTTCGCTTAAAAAGAAAAAAAAAAGGTCGTCTGATCGCAAAGGAAAAAGTGATGGTACCGAGTACGAGGGGCCGTAAGTTACCAACTACCTTACCACTAAGTTACAGGTGGGCAAGTCACCGAATGGGTGGGTGCTATTAATAGTATACAGTACGTATACTGTATATGTTTTTCCACCTCATACCTACCCGAGATAGTATGTATATGTACATTTTCTACTAAATCATGTACCGTACAGTGACATTGTCCTGCTGCTCCGCGGATTGTCTCAAACATGATGATGGGACCTGCTGAGTTCGAATTGAGGAGACAATTATGAGTAGCAAGGACACGTGTCGAAGCAGATGGTACTGCACACATCCCACCCAGCATCTTCTTACCCCGCTTCCAGTTGTGGGTCGACTTTGTGGCTCTCTAACATGTACTGTACACTATACTCGGTATCACGCTAAGTCCCAACCAATTGGTCACGTTATATGTCTCGTGACCATCGTGAGAAGGTAGGTGTCAACGTGACTCATGTCCTTGTGTCTCTTCTACTCGACACCATCTGGTACAGGTGGGCTAGTGCTGATGGATACAGATGGGCGCAGCAAGTTCCAAGGGAGCCGAGAGGAGAGGAAATCCACAATAGTACGCAGCGCGCTTCTCTAGCGGTGACCGGTGAACGAGAGACAGGGGAGTATAGGAGACCATGTGACAGATTGCAATTGGTCATTGATCTATATTACTGTCATATTTAGAGATAATCAAAACTGTATTTGTTTTGATGAAGAACCATTCCCGAACAATAATGCAGGCTTTTTACTTTCGAGGTGCGCACACCATACATCCATCCTCGCGAGATGCACCAGATCTCCGGGGTTAAGCGACGACTAGTCGCCCCCCTTCCCAAAAGTTCGGAATCAAGACAGAGTGCTTCATGCAGAATCGGCGCTGGGCGATCCAATCACGGCTTCCTGATATAGATTGTCAGCCACAATGGACCTTTGCTTTCAGCTCCGATTAGATTAAAACATACCCTTGCATTTTGGTAGAGTGGCGAGATACCGGTCCAGTGTTGGAACTAAGCACGCAAAATCTAGTCAGCCCTCGCGCAGAAAACAAGGATCCCTTAGAGTGAATCATACCTGGTACCAGCCTTGGCCAACGAGAACCTCCAGGCCGGGGATTGTGTGCCAGCCAGCGTCGGACGCCAGCTGCATCAGGGTCGTCACAGAAGGCTTGTAGGCCATCTCGAGGAGCACCCGCGGAACCTTCTCCACGGACTTGGCGATGTCAGCGTCAGCCTCCTGAGCACGTGTGAACATGTGGCACAGGGTCTCGCGCATGCCCGTGTCGATGGGCTTGTCGGCGGGGATAGTGCCAATGGCCACCTTGGGGATCGTGTCTAGCGACTCGGCAGACTCCACAATGCGAATGTTGTAGCTAGTAGGGAAGGTGGACACCATGGTCTCGAGCTTGGCCGGAGACCGTCCGACAATGTAGATGGGGGAGAAGCCCATGTTGTGAAGGGCGTAGATGGCTGCACGAGCCGTACCTCCACCACCGATGACCACGGCACTGGCATCTCCGTTGCAGCCGTACACACCAGCGTTGCGAAGGGACAGCGTCATCCCCTGCCAATCCGTATTGTAGCCCACCAAATGAGCAGGCTTGTCTTGACCAGCCGAAACGGGCACAATAGTGTTCACTGCGCCGATGATCTCAGCGTCAGAGGAAACCTCGTCCAGCAATGGCATAATGTCCAGCTTCAGAGGGATCGTGACCGAGGCACCTCCAAAATCAGGAGAGCGGATGAAATCCTTGACGTCCTCAGCGTTGGCCGTCTCTAGACGGCCATACTCGTGAGGGAGACCCGTCTGGGCGAAAAGCGTATTGTGAAGAGCCGGAGATCGAGACTGGGAGATCGGAGTTCCAAAGAGTGCGAACTTCTTAGGCTTGAGCTCGCCCATCAAGGAGAGCCCTTTGCGAATTTCGGTCGCAGAGAGCTGGCCCGGAGCAGCCTTGAATGGGAGACTGGGGTGAGACACCGGAGTCATGAAACCGTTCAAGATACGGCTGAGTTGTCCATTGTCGCCCATGTTGATGGCAATCACAGGGACATCATGTGCCTCTGCGGCCCACTGCTTGAATTTCCTCAAAGCAGTGTTGTCATCAAGGGTCTTAGCAACACCAACAAGCTTGATCACGTCGCCGTATTCAAGCGCGCGGTTGTAGTACTTGATCCAGGACATGTTGCCCCACGCAAGCTCTCCCTTGGGGTCGTGGTGAGAGGCAATGATCTTGGAATAGCCCTTTGATTCCGTGACCGAGCGCAGCAAATCATCAGGGAAAGCGATCTCCAGGTCTACGAACTCGGTACCAGACCGGATCGCAAGACGGTAGAGCTCTCTCGCCTCATCATAGGCGTTATCGGGGAAGCGACCACCTTGACTCTTGGTACGGATAGTGAAAATCAAAGGAAGTGAGGTCTGACTACGAAGGAACGACATCTGCTCGGCCACATAGTCGACCGAGGGAATCTCGTCATCCGAGGCCGGGTCCTTCAGCAGATCGACGCGTAATTCCACTGCATCAGAGCCTACACAGACTTCTTTCAGGATGTCGCTCGCTGACCGCAGATCAGGGAGAGTGAGAGAGACAAAGAACGAGTGCTCTTTACGCTTAATGATATCGAGACTGTCAATCTCTCCGGTAACGGCCTTCAAGAAACGTCTGAAGTCTTCAGACGCCCGAGCGAGACCTCCAGTGCTCGCCGTCTGACTGAAGTACTGCAAGTTACTGCACTCCTGGAACCAGGGCTTGCGACGCAACCACACACCCATCATGTCTTCAACATAGGCCGGGCGGGTACGATCGATTTGAAGGAAGTCCATAACCTGCTTGATGTCACGCAGAATGAGCAGGACATTGCCCTTGGTCTTGTGGTAGTCAGTAAGCAACTTCCTAGCCTCTGGAATCTCGACAATGCCACCCCCGCACGCGAACACGTATCCGGTCGCGCGTTCTTTCAGGGTGCGCTGCAGAAGATTGAGCTCGGCGTCTCTGAAGCCCTGCCAGCCTCGTTGCTTGATAAGCTCGGGAATCGTCATGCCTTCCGCCTTCTCAAGCTCGGTATCCAGATCCACGAAGGGCCGGTTCAAAGTCTTCGCAACCCACTGTCCACTGGTAGTCTTGCCCGCACCACGCATGCCGATGATGAAAACAGATGCGCTGGACTTCTCGGCTTGCGTGAGAGCCAAGACCTCTTCTTCCTTGAGCTCCTTACCCTCAAGCTTAACACCGAACAACTGCTTCAAGGCATCCCACCAGCCGGGCCAGGTCTTACCGACGCACTCACGCTCCAGGATCAAAGTCGACTGAGGGGTCACAAGAGAAAGGACACTGAAACTGTAAGCCACACGGTGGTCGTCATAACAGAAGATACCACCAGCAGGCTGGCGGAGAGTCGCCCGGTCAATACCATCGATCTCAAGCCCATCATCATGCTCACGACAGACGACACCGAACTTGGCAAGTTCATCCTTCATGGCCTTGATGCGGTTGCATTCCTTCACACGTTGGTTGGCGATACCGTAAATGCGAGTCGTGTGGTTCGAACCCTCACCACGAGCAACGGCTGCCAGCACTGACGCTCCGAGGAAAGCATCAGTCATGGGCTCCATGTCCACATTAGGCAATGGACGCAGGGCACCACCGGGTGCACCCGTAACAGTGGTCGAGGTATCAGTTTGCACAACGGTACAGCCCATAGGGCGCAGAACCTCCACTGCGAAGCGGGCGTCACCCTGCAGAGACTTCGAACCAATGTTGGGGACAGTACAGGTGGTGCCAGTCAGGGCAGCAATGGCCAGAGGGTAGGTAGCAGAGCTAGCATCACTCTCCACCACATACTCAGCAGGGTTGACATAGCGCCCCTGGGGGATGTGGTAGGTGTGCTCCTCAGTGGTGGACTTCTGGACGTCGATGCCGAAGGATCTCATCATCGCCGTGGTCATATCGATGTAGGGCTGCGAGATGGGCTTTCCGCCCACCAGCTTAAGGGTAACCGGCTCCTTGGCGTAAGGCGCGCACATAAGCAACGAAGACACATACTGCGATGAAACCTTGGCAGCAAGGTTGATTCTACCTCCGGCGAATCCGCCAGAGGCGGCGATCTTAAGAGGCAGACTGCCCTTGCTCTCCACGTATTCAACGGACGCACCGTTGGCGGTCAACGCATCAACCAAGTCACCGATAGGCCTTTGCTTCATGCGGTTGTTACCCGTAAGAATGTTGTAGTCAACATCGCCAGGCGTAGCAAGGGTAGCGGCCGTAGTGAGGAAGCGCGAAGCCGTTCCCGCATTACCAAGGTAAAGCGGCGTAGAGGTTGCTTGGAGATCACCCCCCTTGCCGTTCACCACGAGAACCTCCCCCTCCTCCTCCCAGGAGAAGGTACAAGCTCCCAGTCGCTCCAATGCGTTCAACATGACTTCAGTGTCGTCCGAGTGGAGCAGGTTCTTGATGCGACAGGTACCCGAACCGAGAGCAGCCAGGACCAATGCTCGGTTCGAGATACTCTTCGAGCCTGGAGGGGTACAGACGACATTTGAAGCCGGCGCGACGCCGGGGTACACCTCGATACTCGGAGCAAGAACGACACTGATGTCCTCGTTCGGAACAACGCTAGCCTTGGGCTCGTATGTGCGCCCGATAGCAGACAACAGAACGACCTTCTTCTTGGGACCGTCGTTCTTCTTATCCAGGGCCATGTTGAAGAGGAGCTGTTCGACGGAGCAGTGTTTTCCAGCAGTAAGCTTCCGGATGCGCGCATCCTTCAGAGACGTAGGCAATCCGTAGGCGGTAAGACACTTGACGATACGAGCGACCGCGACACCCTTCAAGATGCCAAGATGACGGGCCAATTCAGCCTCCTTGACCATACCAATGGCGACGCACTCACCGTGGAGGACCTGAGGGGTCAAAATGGCCTCGATGGCATGACCAATGGAGTGGCCCCAGTTCAACAGATTGCGAAGACCACCCTCACGCTCGTCAGCGGACACGACATAGGCCTTGTGACGAGCAGACGCCAGAATACGAGCCTTCATGATATCTTCGATTCCCTGGAAGCGACGCTGGCCAGGCTTGACCTCCTGGCGAACAGCCGACAGAATCACTTCTGCGTTGGCTTCCAGCGCAGTGAATTCTTCCTCACTCGAGATTGCTGCCGTCTTGATCACTTCCGCCATGCCATTGATGAACTCGCGCACGGGGAGGGTCTCCAAGAATTCGAGGTCAATGTAAATCCTGGTCGGTTGCCAGATCGTGCCAATCAAGTTCTTTCCCAGCGGTGTATCGATCGCAGTCTTCCCACCGATGGAGGAATCCACCATGGCGAGCAACGTCGTGGGTACTTGTACAATACGGACCCCGCGCATGTAGGTAGAAGCGACAAATCCAGTCAGGTCTCCAATGACACCTCCGCCAAGAGCAATGACTACTGTATCCCGGCCACATGGTGGGCTCTGACTCAACATCCAGTCCTCGATGGCGGCTTTCGTCTGTCTGGATTTGGACACTTCACCGGGGGCGACCTGGTAGATCAACAGACGCGGGGAGGGAGTAACGGTAGCGGCCACAGCATCGAAAGCCTTTTGGAACTCGGGAGTGTAGATAGAACCAATATTCGTGTCCGTGATGAGAACATAGGTGGTGGAGGAGCAATTGGTGATCAGGTCTTGCGCGACATAGTTGCGCCAGAGACCAAAGTCAGCAATGATGCTCTCCTGACCGAGAATGCTGATTTTCGTGGGTTCGGACATTTTGAGAACGGCTAAGAGTCGAAGAATATGTTAATTCGAGGGAAAAGACTGCGTTTGTGCTTAATTCATGCTGGGGAAATAGAATTGCAAATGTCCGTCAGGCGTAGGTCCGACGCGGACTTGACCGATGGCGACTTTTCTCGTGGGCGAGAATGTAAGATGCGATCGGAGAGACGAGAAAAAGAGGCGCTTGAGCCGAATGGATTGAGACGAAAAAGCAGCAAGAAGATAGAAGAGAAGAAAAGAGAGAGCGAGGGAAAAAAAGGACTTTAGTCGTACGTACCTCTCGAGCCCAATGACTCCGGCGAAGCGGACAGATTCCCCTCGGCGGCGGGGCTCGGCGGAGAGAGACCGAAGAAGGCGGGATGGAGGGGATGGAAGGGACAGCGGACACAAGAGAATGGAAAAGATAAGATGGAGGAATTGGAGAGAAGAAGGCAAGGGTACTTCTACCAAGAAATTGGAAAGAAGAATAAGGAATGAGGAGAAGGGGGAAGTCTGCAGCTCCACCCAATCCAGGCACGGTAGAAATGACTGACTGACTCACTCGTGTGTGCCATACACTTACCTCGATTACACAGAGAAAAGGAAAGAAAAAGGTGACCGCCTCCGATGTCGTCCTGCCGTCCCTCCGTCCCTAACTTACCGGCCACTAAAACTACGTACCGGTAGTCAATCTAGTCTAGTGCAGCTCAAATGCCTTGGCTCTCCGCTCACGATGGCATTCTTGTACACAGTCTACATATACACTCAACTCACCCTCTGGCCCAAATGCTCCTTGTGCGGATTTACTGTGTGTTGTACAGTACTTACTGTACAAACCCACGAACCACGAACCACGAACCCCCACAACTAGCTGAACGCAAGCTGATTGCCTTTCCCAGCTGCCGCAAGTGGGTATGAGTTTCGAACTACGATCGTCTACCAGATGAGCTCAAGTCGATCGGGTCCTAGAGTGGAGAGAATCTTAGCCCAGAATTGCTCGGATCTACATCATTGCTCGTTTGTCCTGTTTTCTAAACCACAGAGTAAATTCATGATCGAGGTCACCAGCTGAATGTTGTCCCTTTCAACGCCTGTCCCAAGTGCCCCAGTTCTTTAATTCCCATCATAGTTCTTATTTCGCATAGTTGCAACAGCAGCAGGAACTGTTCATGCAAATGGAGAAAACCGCAACCAAACGACAAAAAAACCCAAACAAAAACCCCCTCCCCCACCAAGGGTCGTACATAACATAAACTAAATCAGGTACGATCGGCAACTGAGACACAAATCCGAGCGGATCTGACCCTGGCCTTGAAAACACTAATAACGACCGTATCCACCACCAGAGCCTCGCGAAGAGTAATGGTCCCGGCCTTGATACCCTCCCCGGCCATACCCACCATTACCGCCGCCGCCGCCATGTCTACCCTGGTACTGATTACCAGAGTTGTTACCATAGGACCCTTGCTGATAGTAACCCTGCTGGCTTCGTCCGTAGTAATCGTAGTTGTTCCCGGGTGCGTTTTGGTGCTGCTGGCCCGAGTAGTGCCCGCCACGGTGGTAAGAACCACCACGGGGAGGAGGGGGCGGTCCTCGAGAATAGCCTCCATGTCCTGAGCCAGGAGGAGCCCAACCGGAAGACATGCCCATCGGCGCATTAGAATTGCCAGGGGGCGCGAATTTAGGGTCAAGGTGTGCTGCAAACGGGTTCGGGCGGTCGCTATCGTTTCGGTTGCTGGCATAGTTCATGCGACCGCCTCTGCCATTGCGGAAAGGTGCACCACCGAATGATCGACCCGAATGCTGAGCTCTGGATTTGACGGCTTGGATGTCCCCATTGTCGAGTGCCGGTTGCGGGAGCTTAACGCCTCGAAGAAGCATGGACTTGTGAATGTTCTTTGACTTGGGGATTTCGTAATTGACACTAAAAAAACGTCAGATCAGTACATTGACAACATCAAGAATGATATACTGGTTAGAAGTGAAGATGGTACTCACGTTAGAGATCGATCCTGCTCAAGAGACGGCATGCCATATTCCTCAAGGGACGACACCAGGGAGCTGTGTGGGATATATGTCTCGTTGCGCTCAACCTCGCCGGCCAGTCCTTCACTTGCCCGCATGTTGAGTTTGTACTTGGAGGCGCCCTGCCTCTTCGAATAGAAATTGGCAACGAGGTCTTGATATACAGGATGACTGTCAGCGATCATCAGTACTTCCTGACCAGGGGTGTTTCTAGCTTTCTCATCATCCGACAACAAAGGGTATTTTTTGGCCATGGCATCCAGTAACCGCTTTTCGTCGATAAACGGCAGCAAGACAACACCCTGCCAAGCGAATTTCTTGCCGTTCAAGTCAAGCGGGAAATCTTCCGGGTAGAAGTCGATGATTTCACTCTCGGGATCGCTCATCAGCGGGTGGAAGACTTCAGGGATGGCATGATTAGATGAAGCGGGCAGCACACCCATCAGTTGCTCGAAAGGTTTGAAGGGCGTTCCCTTTTCAAACGACAACTCCATTTCACCAATGTCCACGAAATCAGCCGCAAAGGGTGCGTAGTGGTACGGGTAATACCACGTCCATGAAGGACATCCTTGGAAATAATAAAGGAGAACCCAGGCCAAGCCTTCAGCATACGCCCGCGCGACCTTGTGACGGAACTCCTTGTCTTGCGGATCGACACCGAACTTTTGCTCATAGTATCGATCAGCATATCCCTCCTCCCAGAGACGAACATTGTCCGGTGGCATCTCATCGTCCTTGGGTGTGTTCGGGGAGTCCTTGCTTGGAGTCGCCGCAGCATCTGCTTCGGCCTTTCTTTTGCCGAGTACCGAAGGTGAGGTTTGATCCTGTTCCATCTTGTCGTCTGCTACTTCAGACTCCCCGGGTGTGGACTCCTCGTTCTCGTTCGATGCCGATGCCTCCTGCGAGCCTTGCATCATCTTGCTCTTGAGTATAGCGGCGGCACTCTTGTTAGCCATATTAGCCTTATACACTGCTCCACGGTTGACAACCATGCTGTGAGTCAATTGCCTCGCCTCCCGCGTTAGTTCTCCGCGAGCAGGTGTGATGAGCTCCACTCCACTTGGAGGTGCCGAGTCTGCGCTACCACGGGATCGGTTTGGAGTGGGTGATTCGTGAGTGTCATAGCTAGGTGAGCCTCTTCGCTGTCTTTTCGCCTGCTCTTCGCGACGCGCCTGGTCCTCCTGCTTGCGCCTCTTCTCGTTCGCAAGCTTTCTCTCTTCAGCTTGTCTACGACGGCGGAAGATAGCGTCTTCCTGCTTCGCCAGCCCTTGAAGAATAAGCTGAGCTCTCTTCAGGTCGACATGCCCATCTTGAGTCAAATATCCGCCCATGACGGGGATATTATCGCGCCAGATTGCGATTAACGTGTCGATGCCATTTTCGCGAATGTCTAATGATGGTAAGTGCGGAAGGAAGTCATTTCCTACGAAGAAGCACATGAAGACCCAATCGTCCAGGGCACGCTCCAGATCGAAGGGGAATGGCTGCTGCGGAACATACAGCTCAGCAGCAAGATACTCCCGTAGAATACCAACATTAAGCCAAATGAATGGTTTGAGCGAGGATCCTTTCTGCTTCTCATCAAACTCTCCACTCTTCTCCTTTGCCTGGCCTCTGCATTCCTCCGCTTTATGGCCGGGCTGGCCGCACAGACGACATGTCCGTGGCTTGGACTCCTGGAAGAACACATCCTCTCGCAGAACTCGGAAGTAAGGCTCATGAGTAGCAAGACCCAGCATAATCAAGTCTGCATCCAAACCGTAGATGACGTGGCGAGTGTTAGGATCATGCTCGGGATCCGCCCGCTGAGACCGGACAAACTCCATGATCTTGTGTTCTCCTTCACCTGGTACAGTCGCATCCGAGATAATAATTTTCAGCTATTAATTATAATTAGCGAATCCGCTCCCAAGAAGATAAAGAAACCTGGCTCATACCTTCTCCCAAGCCGGGTCGGTGTTGAGCTTGTAAGCAATCCAGTAGCGCAAAGCGGCAGCAAGAATATCCATGAAAGGAGTTCCGGGCGTGATAACATTGCTGTCCCAAGTCTTTTGAATAACCTGTTCCGAAAGATCCTCGTCCTGCTTGTTACCGTTCTGCTTCGCAAGCATCTTCCGGAACTCCTCCTTCTTCTCATCTGCCTCTCTAGCTTCTTGAGCCGAACGGAAACGACGTGCTCGTTGCTGGTTCATTTTCGCTCGTGGCGCAACTCCATCTAAATTGCGATAAGTGTTAACATGAGGCCGGATTCCAATGTAGAAGCAGGGTGATCGCGTTCTACTTACCGACAGCGATCATGAGGAGTTTTCTGGGCCGAACCATGTTGACCACCCTATCGGTATACTTGAAGATCTCGACCATCATCTCCTGTTCGTTCGCCGGAGGAGGCTTTCCTTCGGGATGAGTACAGGGGTGGACGATACCATTCATGTCTAGATATAGGTTGTCCATTTCATCGCCATTTGGATTGGGGCGCGTGGTGTCAACCGGAACCTCTTCGCCGTTGACCTCATAGGGAGTTTCCTCGATGACAGGAGAGATGATCTTTGGGTACTTGTTGGATAACCATCTGAAAAGCGCCGGGACACCCATGGCTGCTGGTGTCTATGAAACGAAAAGGTGGAAAGGTTCACAAATGAGATATGTAAGTTCAAATTGTTTCGCGGATGCGCTGCATCGGCTGTCTCGAGGCCTTAGATCGGCAAACGTAAATGGGGGTTCGAGTTGGGGACAAGATCGCGGTCGCGCGAGATTGTATTCAAGCGACAATTCCCACTTCACCCGGCCTGAGCAGCGAGACAAAGAAATGGGGCCGGTGAAAGGAGTGCGAAAGATGACGACGGCAAAAGGTCTTTGAAAGTCTCTGCGACAGTCAGCCGTTGACTTTTGAAAGAACCGGGGAGCCGGCGCTTCTCTTGTCGCGGTTCCGGATGCTTAGCGCGAGCCCTTGGCTCCGGGTCATTAGTCTATGGCTCTATGCAGCACCACCGCCGCCGAAGACGCCGCCTCTGGGTTAGGCTAGTTTAATTGAACTTAGCTGTCGGGACTAGTCCAGCTGCAGCTCCATAACGGAGAGAACAACTCAGCCGGTCCACGACTCCAACGCTAAGGTACCTATCAACTTCAACTTCTTTTTCACTCATACTCTCAAGACCACTCAATGCTTCTACACTTCTACGCCCACGGCCGGCGGTGACCATGAAATTACCAGTTAACTATTGCGATGTTCCGAATCCTCGAATCGCAGGCTCCGGCCAAACAAACGGCTACGGACACCATCAATACTCTCAGTAGTCGACTCCAGAGTGCCACTTTGTTGGAGGACCGAAGAGCCGCCATCCAAGGACTCAGAAGCTTTTCGAAAACTTACCCAGCTTCTGTTGCTTCGGGCGCACTGCGACCGTTGATCAGTTGTTTGAGAAATGACCGCGAAGATGTGGACACAATTAAGGTGGTCCTGGAGACTTTGTTGATGTTGTTCACTCCCGACGAGAATAGTGTTGGTCTCCTTTCTCTTTGACAATCCCTGAATATCTGAAGACGCTAACATAGTCTTGATTCAGCCCGAAGCGTCCGACGAAATCGCTCTCTGGTTATCAGACGAATTCACCCAGGTTCGGTGTTCGCTACGTGTTCCGTTGGGCATTGCTGACTGGGCGGAAGCGACAAGACAATATCACCGCGCTCCTCGATCTGTTAGATACACGCGACTTCTACTCTCGCCTCTATTCCCTGCAATTGATGTTTCAGATTTCTAGTGCGCGACCGGAAAGGACACAGGAGTGTATTCTGACTGCGCCTCTGGGTATCCCAAGACTCGTCAGCGCATTAGGAGACTCTCGAGAACCGGTGCGCAATGGTACGCTCCCTGCGGGATCGAGGACTTCTTTTCAAATTTCCGTGCTAATGCAAATTTCTATCCTTAGAGGCGTTGCTTCTTCTCATTGCGCTCACGCCAGCATCGGAGGAATTCCAGAAACTTGTTGCCTTCGAGAATGCATTCGATCTTATATTCTCCCTGATAGAGGCTGAAGGCGCATTGAATCATGGGTCGGAAGTCGTTGAAGATTGCCTCTCTTTACTTGCCAATCTTCTACGGCTCAACATTTCAAACCAGTCATACTTCCGTGAGACGGGTTGTGTCAAGCGACTAGCGAAGCTTCTTGCCGACGCAAATCAAGACCAGGAGTCTGAAGACCAGACACTGCAATGGACCTTCGCCCACCGTGATAAAAATATATGGGGACTGTTGGTCATTATCCAGCTTTTCCTTGTAAAGGGAGGAGTCAACACCCCCGCAAACCAGATGGCTTTCTGGAATCATGGCGTTATGGAGCAGGTGCTTAGCACAGCTTTCGGCCAGAGATTCAATGTAAACGTGACGGCTAAGGTTGGATTTCTTCAATCTATATTTCATTTAGCACGATGCTTACTGTCCTAGGCACTCGCAACATGCGCAGACCTTATCCGTGCAAACAAACCACTACAGGAAAGGTTCGGTGATGTGGAGGTAGTCTGGGGCCCACAAGAGGCCGATAATGCTGCTGCTAATGGCACCACGGAGGTCAAGCAGACTCAGCCGATCAATGTGATCGAAGCTTTGCTCAAATTGACACTAGAGCCTGCACCTATATCGCTCCTAGATGCACGTCTAGCTGCCTGTGAGTGTGTCAAGGCATTCTTTGCGAACCATTCTGGCATCCGCGTTCATGTATTGGGTCGGGCGATTCAAGGCCATGTCAGCGGCGAAGACCAGATTCCGAACATTCTATCCGTTCTGCTCACCCCACCAGAGTCTCGTGGAAACGCTGATCCTTATCAAACCTGGATGGCGGCTGTACTCATGTACCAGCTGCTTTGGGAGAACCCCGAAGCAAAGGAAATCGCTATGGGAGTGACCGAGGGTGATGCTGAACAGGGCGAAGAAGTGGTCACCTGTATTCAGACTATAGTGGGCAACCTGATCACCGGCTTGCAGCGCGGCGATGATGAGCGTATCACCCTTGGATATTTAATGTTGCTTTGCGGCTGGCTATATGAGGAGCCAGATGCTGTGAATGATTTTCTGGGCGAGGGCAGCAGCATTCAGAGTCTACTTCAAGAGGTCAAACACCGTGGGGTTTCCAATGTGCTTGTGCCTGGCCTCTGCACAATCCTACTGGGAATTATATATGAATTCTCCTCAAAAGACTCGCCTATACCTCGCAAGACATTGCACAAGTTGATTCTCGATCAATTGGGGAGAGAACAATACATTGACCGGATCACCCGGTTTAGAGAAGCTCCCTTGGTACGTGACTTCGAGGTCCTCCCACAAACAGTTGGAGCCCAATCCGATGGCGGACTGCCGGAGATCTATTTCGATCGGGCCTTCATCGAATTCTTGAAGGACAATTTCAGTCGTTTAACTCGTGCAATCGACCGAGAGCCCGAACTGGAGATATCCATCATCACCAACGGTGTCGAAAGAGGTGTATCACGTGAGCTAGTTGATACTCTTCGAGCGGAAATCGAAGAGAAAGGAAATGTAGTCCAGAAGCTGGAAGAGGACCTGCTTGCTTTGCAGTCAAAGTTTGAGCAAGAGCAAGCAGAACACCGGAAGACTCGGGATTCTACTGCTGTAGAGTCCACCAAATTACAGCAAGTTACCGAATCGCTCAAAAGAAGCCACGAGAAGGATATCGCGGCGTTGAAGGAGCAGCAGAAGCGCGACCAAAACGAACTCTCAAAGAAGCATGAGGAGCAGATTCGAGCTTGCGAAAAACGCCTTAAGGAAACTGCAGCTGATTACGAAAGGCAGCTCTATCACGCCAAGAAGCACCATGACGGCGAGGCAGCTGATCTACGGAAGCATATCCGGTCTCTGGAAACCGACCTTGCTCGAGTTCGAGATCAGCATGTAGGCGAGATTGCTAAATTGAAGGCAACGATTCAGAAATTGAGTTCCGAGGCTGAAAAGATCAAGGCGCAGCATGTGGCTGAAGTTCTAGACCTCAACAGCACGATCCAATCTCTGCAGTCGGGACTCGAATCCAACAAAGAACAACACACCGCTGAAATGTCTGAGTTGCAAAAGACAGCCGGCAAAATGCAGTCCGAGCTCGAGTTGAATAAGCAAAAGCATGCATCAGAGTTGTCTTACCTGAATAAGACAATCGAGGACCTGCGGTCTCAGCTAGAAGTTAGCGAAGAGAAGCACGCAGAACTTTCAGCGCAGAGCGAGACGATTAGTACTCTCCAGTCCGAAATTGATGCACAGAAAGGAAAACACGCCGAGGAGTTATCTTCTCTGAACAAGACGATCAAGGACCTTCAATCCGCACTGCAAGCCAGTGAAGAGAAGCATGCAGCAGAGTTGTCCGCTCAGAGCTCTACTTCAACTACGCTGCAATCTGAACTCGATTCGCAGAAGGCGAAGCATGGCGAGGAAATGTCTGACTTGAACAAAACGATTGATGGTCTACGATCTAAGCATGACGCGGCTAAAGAGAAGCATGCTGAATCACTGTCTGAGCTGCAAAAAACAATCGACGACCTTCAATCCACGCTCGATACGGATAGAGAGAAGCATGCAAAGTCGCTGTCTGAGCTGCAGAAAACAATTGAGGACCTCCAGTCGGGCAGCGGTGCCAACACCGAGAAGCACGCTCATGAAGTGTCTGGCCTCAATGACACAATTCAGACTCTGAAGTTGGATATTGACAAGATCAAGCAGCAACACAAGGCCGAAATTGCCGAGCATGAGACCACCAAGCAAGGGCTACAGTCCGAGTTGAAGTCGACCATCGAGAAATCTACGCATGACCTGCAATCCGCGCGCGATGACAGCTCGGACAAACACGCTGCGCTAGAAAAGAGGATTGAGAAGGCGGAGAGCGAGGTCGAGCAGGCTAAAGCAGAAGCTCAGAAGACGGCAACAGCCCTGGAAGCTTTACGGAAAGAGCTGGAGAAGGCCCGGTCCGAGGCCAGCGAGAAGGAAGAAGCACGCCAGGCGGCACAGTCCGAATTAGAAGATCTTCTCATTGTCTTCGGGGACCTCGAAGCGAAGAGAAGCCAGGATAAGGTGAGTCACCCCTTTACTCAAATCCTGAAGTGCATGTAAGTGACTCATTGATTTCTTTCAGCAACGCCTGAAGGATCTCGGACAAGAAGTGTCTGAAGCGGAAGATGAGGACGAAGATGAAGATGACGAGGAGGAGGAGGATGAAGAGGATGAGTAGGTTGCAGCGTCGAGGAAGCTGGACTATGCATCAGTCCTCAATGTCGTCGATGATAGACAAAATAAGATTCCGTAGATATCCATGATCAGTTTGGTGCAGCTGGTTCAGGGTCCAGTGTAGAAGAGCTAGGCATATGTGGATAATAAGTATTGTGGCTACTTACTAGGAGCCTTGAGTCGCGGCACGCCTCATTCCGGCGGCAGGCGGGGCACGCACTAGGCGGGTTGGTTTCCTTTGTGCAGCTTGGCTAAAATTCCAACCGCGGGGTGACTCACGACTTTATCGTGCGCACGACTCTATTTCTACCCCGCGGCCATCCCTCCTTGCGCAGATCGCATCGATTGCAGCCTCCCCTCCCCCTCCTTTCTGACGACCGCACTCACCTGCTCGTCATGTCCATTGATTTTCCTCGTGAAGAGGAGGCCATCCTCAAGAGGTGGAGGGAGATCAACGCTTTCCGGAGACAGGTCGAGCTCTCCGAGGGCCGCGAACCTTACACCTTCTACGATGGCCCTCCATTTGCGACTGGCCTTCCTCACTACGGTCACTTGCTTGCCTCGACCATCAAGGATATTATTCCCCGTTATTGGTCTATGAAGGGTCACTATGTCGAGCGTCGGTTCGGCTGGGATACCCATGGTGTTCCCATCGAGTATGAGATTGACAAGAAGCTGGGAATGTCGGGTCTGGAAGCCGTCCAGAAGATCGGAATTGAGAAATACAACGAGGAGTGTCGAGCCATTGTCATGAGATTCGCCTCGGAATGGCGTGAGACTATCGAGCGACTAGGTCGCTGGATTGACTTCGACAATGACTACAAGGTAGGTCTTTGCTATATTGGTTTCTTGTCTTCATTTCGCTTGAACATCTCGACATCCAAAGCATTATCCAGTTTCAAGAGTATTTTCTAATCATTTTTTGTATAGACCATGAATGCCAGCTTCATGGAGTCTATCTGGTGGGTTTTCAAGCAGTTGTTCGACAAGGGTCTTGTTTACCGCGGCTACCGTGTCATGCCTTACTCGACTGCCCTCAACACCCCCCTCAGTAACTTTGAGGCCCAGCAGAACTACAAGGATGTTCAGGATCCTGCCGTCGTGGTCACATTCCCCCTCGTGAACGACCCTGAGACTGCACTTCTTGCCTGGACGACCACGCCGTGGACTCTTCCTTCCAACATCGCTCTCGCAGTCAACCCCAACTTTGAATACATTAAAATCCTTGACGAAGCCTCCGGAAAGCACTACGTCCTCCTTGAGTCCCTGCTCCGCACCCTGTACAAGGACCCTAAGAAGGCCAAATTCAAGATTGTCGACCGTTTCAAGGGTGAACACATGAAGGACTGGAAGTACCAGCCTCTCTTCGACTACTTCTACGAAGAATTCAAGGAATTCGGCTTCCGTGTCTTGACCGCTGATTATGTGACTGCCGAGGATGGTACTGGTATCGTTCACCAAGCCCCAGCTTTTGGTGAGGACGATTACAAGGTTTCCGTGGAACATGGTGTCATCAACGAGGATCGCAGCCCTCCCAACCCTGTCGACGAAACTGGTTGCTACACCGCTGAGGTGAAGGATTTCGAAGGGCAGCACGTGAAGGCCGCTGATAGGGCCATCATCAAGCACCTGAAGGCAGCTGGTCGCTTGATCGTTGACAGCCAGATCACCCACAGCTACCCCTTCTGCTGGCGCTCCGATACTCCCTTGATCTACAGAGCCGTGCCTGCATGGTTCGTCAAGATCGGCCCTATCATCCCGCAGATGCTTCAAGGTATCGAGGAATCCCATTGGGTGCCTAGTTTCGTGAAGGAACGCCGATTCTCTAGCTGGATTCAGAATGCGCGTGATTGGAACATCTCCCGCAATCGCTTCTGGGGTACTCCCCTCCCCCTGTGGGTCAGCGAGGACTTCAAGGAAGTCGTTGCGGTTGGTAGTGTCGAAGAGT